CGCAGCCTCTCCACTGCACCTGGGGCCGTGGTTAACACGGGGAGAGGAGACTGGCGCACTGGCTGCTGGAATCTGGTGATCTCTCTCTGACCGGCGATCTCTCTCTCTGGCGATCTCTCTTTGGCGATCTCTCTCTCTCTGGCGATCTCTCTCGGACACGTGGCGTGGGGGAATCTAAATAGCCTAAGCTTAGGGCAGTGCCCTAAGGCCATTAGAGATGTACCGGTATCTCATTGGCGCACAGGTTTAGCGCCAGAAAGCAGGTTCCTAGGGAGGGGGTATAGGGTTACAGTCAAGTCTATAGGGGGCGGGGGGAGGCAGGAGTTTCTAACTTAGCTGCAGCCTTTCCTGGTTACAGTGTTTGGTCTGGGCCAGCAACTCTTTCATATCCCGTCTTATGGTTATTAGGAAAAGGGGCGAAGATTTCACTCTGTAACTACTTCCTGCTGGCTGAGGGCACTGTATTGGGGTCTAGGGGAGTTTGACGGGATGAAGGTTGATGCCCAGGTAGACACTGATGCCAGGTGTTTTAGCCAGGACAACTTCACTGGTGAATGTATGTATGTCAGACTGGAAAAACAAAGAGACATACTGTTATTAGGAGACATGGCACTATTATATTTAAGGACCCAGGTGAGGTAGATAGGAAGGTGACTTTGGTTTTGAGATGGTATTTTATCAGGGTGACGTTGAGGTGGCAAGGCAGAATTCTGAAAAATAAACGTGGGATTAGGAGGAGTGAAGTTATGAGAGGTGTTTACTCCCCCCTATGAAAGCATAAAAGTTAAAAGGTAGGTAGGTAAGGCTTGTCTCTGGTATATATGATGTTGGAGTCTGTAGGCAATCCTGTTAGGGACTCCTGCTATAGAAATGATCATTAATAGAATGTAAGAAACTAAGAATCAAACTGGACAACAAAACATGACAACCTGTGAGTCATAAGGCAGAGATGAGCATCAAAAGGATGGTTAGATCTAGGGCCTGAGTGATGTGAAACCAGAATGGCAGTTTAAAAGGGAATAAAAGCATTTTATGATTTAGGACTGGGACCTGTATAAAAATGGGCCTGTTTGTAAATGGCATAGGTTGACCATCAATACCATGTCATAGAGATTGATTTAATATAGCAACCTGAATACTCAGGAAGAACCCTGTATATATGGCCTCTATGTCCACAAATATAGAGAATATCTTACCTGAGACTGTAGTGCGACTTGGAATCTGAGACGGACACCTTAAAGGGAGCTGTTGTTGCCCTGAACCCCCTCAGCCTCCAGCAGCGATTTTCTGTCAGTGACGAATCTGGCAGTGTCGACATTTCCTGTGAGGGCTATTATTTAGGATGACTTACCCACTCTCTGGTGGCTAGGACAGTCCAATAGCCCTGGAGTAAGGTCTCAAAGAATGCCAGGATGGGGCATTTTGTTGCCCAATGTCTTCTGCTGCATTTGAGCGTGGTCCATGGAGGGGGCAGGTAGCTCCACCTTGTGTAGGTTTACCTGTCTCAGAACTCCAAGTGTCACTAGTGTTAAAAATATGAAAAACCATATTAAGATCTCTATAAGGTTTGAAGGTCAAGTTTTGCCTTTTTGTTTGGGATTTGGACTATAGTAGAATTAAGTAAGTATGTAGGAATTTATATCGGCATTTAAGATTATAAGGCAGGCAGGTTGGTAAAATTATCAGGTGGCCAACAATAGTGAACAAATGGTAGAAAGACTGTAAGAAAAGAAAGGAAAAAAAAATAGCCTCTCTCGAGTGGAACTGAACTGCAAAAAAAAGTTTGGGCAGGGCCGTGAGACTTTGGAAACGTGCAGTGTTAAAGGCAGGTTGGAACACTGAAATCCATGGCACGCGCCCGCCGCGTGTTTGGTTGTTGTGGGGCAGCAGTGGCAGCCTGTGTGCCCAGTGCCGCGGAGGGGCGGGCAGGCAAGGAACGTGTAGAGTGGGCAGGGCGAACGCGGGACACGGTAAGCAGAGAACAGAGGCTTATTATGACGCGCTAAGCGGCGCAGGGAAATGACGTTTTTCGCTGCGACCGCATAAGGGGGTGGGGCTTGGAGGCCCCGAGTGGTGATCCGAGGTGACGCCTGGCGTCAGATCAATGGGAGCTGCGGCTCGCGTTTGGTCCCCCCGGAGGGGCGGGGCAGCAGAGGCGGGCGACAGAGGCGATGGCCCTGCCCTGGTGGGGCGGGTCGGCGGCCAGGCAGCTGCAGGGGCAGTCAGAGGCACGGCTTGCTGAGCACGGAGCCCCGCGCGTGGGGCGGGGCGAGTAGTACGCTGTGGCCGCGGGAGAGGCACAGCGTGAAGTTAGGCGGGCTCTGTTCTGAAGGATTATGGGCCGTGCCAGACCCGGGTGCGCTGTGAAAGCGACGGCGGGCGGGGTGTGGGCACGGCGCAGGGACACGGCAGGCGCGTGGCGCCTAGCAGTGCCGCATTAGCAGCGGAAGAAACGACTGGCTGCGGGCTGGGCAAGAGGCTGAAACCGCAGGGCCCAAAGAATTGGGACGCGACGTGAGAGCAAAAAGAAAAAAAAGCTGTTTAAAACCTAAAGCAGTTTTATGTGAATCTCTTATTGTCTGGTCTCATTGAACCTCGGCAGAATGGCGGTGGCGGACGGGCTGGCGTAAAGTGGGAAACAAAGGGGAGAGGAGCTGGGCTCGGGCGGAGGCGATCCATGGGAAGGGCCGCGGCTCGCGTCCAGAGCCGCTGCGCCGGTGAAAGAAAGGGAGCTATAACGCGGTTGGAGGGGGAGGGAGAGGAGCCGCGCGCGGAGGAGCCGGGCGCGGGGCCCCCCTGGGGTGACTAGGCCTTGCCGGCCACGTGGGAGACTGTGCCATGACTGTGGGACCTGTGGCGCCGAGGCTGCGCGTGGGAGCTGGAAGAAGGGCGCGCGGGTCGGGGACAGAGGGAGGAAAGAGCGCACACTGGGAAACAAAGAGCCTGTTTTAAAAGTTATCAGGGGAGTTACTCACCAGGGTCGTAGCAGATTTGTGACTGTAGAAGTGAAGAAGTTTGACCAGCAGGGGACCATAAAACAAAACTGAGAAAATTATAGTCTCTCACCTGCTGCCGAGTCACAGGGCACCATCTGTTAGGTCTGAGAGAAGAGGGAGGAGGAGAAGAGGAGGGGAAGAGGGAGAGAGAGAGGTGGAGGTAGAGGTCCGAGGAAGTGGAAGGAATGGAGTGGACGGCCGTGAAAGTAGTGGGCAGCAGTGGCTTTATTTCGGGAACACGGGGAGAGAGACCCTCCCCCTGCCGGCCCTGGGCACAGCCTCTCCACTGCACCCGGGGCCGTGGTTAACACAGGGAGAGGAGACTGGCGCACTGGCTGCTGGAATCTGGTGATCTCTCTCTGACCGGCGATCTCTCTCTCTGGCGATCTCTCTCTGGCGATCTCTCTCAGACATGTGGCATGGGGGAATCTAAATAGCCTAAGCTTAGGGCAGTGCCCTAAGGCCATTAGAGATGTACCAGTATTTTATTGGCGCACAGGTTTAGCGCCAGAAAGCAGGTTCCTAGGGAGGGGGTATAGGGTTACAGTCAAGTCTATAGGGGGCGGGGGGAGTCAGGAGTTTCTAACTTAGCTGCAGCCTTTCCTGGTTACAGTGTTTGGTCTGGGCCAGCAACTCTTTCAGCTGTGTTTTAGATACAGGCCCCCCAAAGGTCTTTGTGTTACTGGGAAGTGGTGGTGCCTTTAAGAGGTGTGGCCTGTGGGCCGGTTCTTTCCCTTTCACTAAATCTATTGTAAGTTTTAGATCTTACTTTCAGTTCCCTACATCAAAGACAGAATATGGTGTTTACACATGTGAGTCTAATTCATTTGACTTATGAGTGTGATCTCTAGTTGCTCAAAGGGAAATCATATTATTTGATCAATTTTAAATGCCTAAATCTGGTAACCTGAGCAACTATTTTGAAGATAACAAGATGCAGTATAACAACCATTGTTAAATTCCTATCATCTTATTTTGAAATCCTGTATCATTATTGTTTTTTCTTTTGTGTGTGTGTGTTGTTACTGATGATGTTGTTGCTGTTTGGCTTTTCTTTTTCTTTCTTTCTTTGTATGATTGCTTTGGATTTTTCTGTGCTTTTTTTCCCTTAAAAAAAAAAGTCAGCTAAACCAGGCTTGGCAGTGTGGCACCTGTAATCTCTGCACTCCAGCAGGCTGAGGCAGCAGGATCACAAATTCAAGCCCAGTCTGGCAGCTTACTGACTAAGCAAGATCTTGTCTCAAAAAAAAAACAAATAAAAAATAACAGTAGTAATAATTTTTAAAGGACATGGTAATGTGGCCCAATGTAAAGGCCATCATGGGTTCAATAACTGGTACCCTAAAAAAAAAAAGAGAGAGAGAGTGGGAGGTTTTAGATCCCTGAGAACTAACCCTCAAAGTGGACTGTGGAACCCTGTTGTCTGACTTTCTATCTCTCCTCATGTTACCATATGCTGCCACAGGTCCAGAGTAATGGCCAGTCATGGACAGAAACCACCAAAGCCATGAGCCAAAATAAAGCTTTTCTCTTTAGAAGGGAATCAGCTCAGGCATTGGTGACGCTGATGAAAATGTGACTCATGAACAGTTGTCCTCCAAAGCTATTTACTGTCCAAAATTCGCTGCAGACACCTTCCCAGACCTCCTTCTCTGAGCTGACCCACCACTCGGCTCAGCTGTCCTGGGTTCCGGCCTTCCAGGAAGTCCCTAGGCCGCCCTCACCTGCTCCCCATGCCCACACAGCTGCCAGAGTGGCCTCCCTGTGAGTAAATACTCTATGTCACTGCCTTGTTTAACACCTCTTCAGTGCACCCTGTGCTTCTAGAATGTCGCAACACACAGGCAGGCCCTGCCAAGCGCTGCTTCTGCTCCACTCTGCCCTCCCAGCAGACATTGTGTGATCCGGCCTGCAGCTCAATCCATGGAGAACTCCTGGAGGGGGAACAGGGATTAAATAAAAGACATGGGGGAGACAAAGAGAGATGAAAGCAAGTCAAAATAATCCGATCAAGCTTCCGTTTATTCAGGAAATGATCACATCTTTTATAAGCCAAGGGCGGGAGGTGGGACAGGAAGAGGTTAAGGGGTGAATACAACAGGGTCACCATTACATCTGGATACATGACGTAAGCAGGAGAGGATTATGGTTAATGTAGGCTGTCGGGGTCGCTCCCGGCCGGCAGGAAAGACACACGACAAAGTCTGGCGGTGTGCAACCTTGCCTTTATTTGTCTCCGCGTGGGCCCCGCGAGGCCTCCTCTCTGCCACCAGTCCTTTCTCGCCGGTGGACTTTCTCTATCTCTCTCGTGCTTCTTTCTCGTGGCGGGAGAGGCATTTACTTTTATAGGGTAACAGTGGCCAATCAGTTCAAAGCGCGCGATGCGGGCTGATTGGCTAACATCAGTTGTTGCTAGGCAGACTATCTTACAGAGCGGGTTGTTTATGTCGCCAGGGCAATCAGGGGGCAGGAAGCAGGCGCTAACTTGGCTCACTCGATGGGAGGGGTAATCTAGCTCGGGCTTTGCTCTTTTCTACAGGCCTCACGTCCGCCAAGTAAGGCGACCAGGCTCGGCCGCGGCTCCCAACAGTAGGCAGACTCAGTTCCCATAGGAGAGAGAGGCAGGGAGGCAGCAATGGGCTGTCACTCGGCTCCCTACATTTCCTCCCTTTTTATATTATTTAATCAAGAGTATGGCAGGCCCTGCCGGACAGTGTCTGTCTTAGGTCAAGGACCTCATTGCATGAACCCAACCAGGCCTTACCTGTCATGGGCTTGCAGAACAGCAGTTGGTCCTGTGCCTGTCTTAGGTGGCCGATGGAATTAACATGCATGTCCTTGTTGCCCGTCTCTGACTGCCTGTCCATTGCCCCAGGGCAGTTACGCTGCATCGTCATATGGGCCACTCGTGGGAATTCCTTCCTGGTAGGTTTGTTGATCTGCCATCTCCAGCTGATGATAGTGTACCTGAATGGGCTTTGCCATAAACACATCTATCTGGTTATTAATGAGCATCATAATCCTCTGAAAAATACAAGGACTCACAGAAAGGAGAAGCAATAGGGCAGCTAGGGGACCCAAAAGGGGCACTAGGTAAGGGAAAAACTCCACCCCCCTCCCCACACATCGAGGAGAAGGGGTTAACTGCCATTTGTCGGTGTCTCTGTCGAAGTCATTCTCCTATGTCTTGGAGCATGCCTCGCATAACATTGGACGCAGTCTGTTTGGCTGGTATATGTTCCTCCAGACCAAGAAGAGCCTCTTCCGCAGTCACAGGGGATTCTATGTATGGCTGTCAGCAGTTGTAGTCTGTTTGGCAGGGGTCAAAATCCACCAAGGGTGTGGTATGGCTCAAGGAGAAGGCTGACTAGGCAGCATAAGGCTCCAGGGAGTGTGTCACCTGTAAGAGAACACAGGGGATTGTCCCTCAGGAAATGACATTATTCCTGGGCGTTGCATGGGGTCTTTGAAGAACTGTCTACTTGTTTTACGAGGCGTTCAGGTAGCCATCTACCTTCTCTATCTTGTTGAGAGTAAACACACACTGAACTGCGTCCCCAGATAAGGACTGGGTCAGGGCCATTCCACGTATTGGTTAGTGGGTTTCTCCATAAGACAGATGCAAACCGTGTTTGAGTTTGAGTATGCCAAAATCGAGATGCTGTGGAGCAGCCTGAAGGATCCAGGGTCAGAAAATTTAAAATAAAAAGAGCATGTGAAAGGACATTTCTAGGGGACCCCCGGGTGGGGTACCATGTCTCCCTTTTTATTTTATCTATGGTGAATTTAAGGGAACGATGCGCACGTTCAACAATGCCTTGTCCCTGAGGATTATAAGGTATACCTGTGGTGTGGAGGATATTAAGGCTCTTGCAAAATTGAGCCAAGGAGGTACTGGTATAGCCAGGGCCATTATCAGTCTTGAGCTGTTGAGCACATCCCAGAACTGAGAAGGCTGACAGCATATGGGCTATAATGTGTCTAGCAGCTTCTCCAGTCTGGAGAGTGGCAAAAATGAAGCCACTATATGTTTCAATAATGACATGTACATATTTTAGATTGCCAAACTCATTGGAAGAGTAACGTCCATTTGACATAAGGCGTTAGGAATTAAACCTCTTGGGTGGACTCCTAGGTGTTGAACAGGTAAGTGGATAGTCCAAGAGGGGCAATTTTTTACAATTTGTCTGGCTTGCTCACGGGTAATTTTGTAGAGGAGGCAGAGAGTGTGAGCATTGAGGTGGTGTAGCTGATGGGCCTTTTGGGCCTCAGACACCTTGGAGTCATGAGTCATAAAAACCTGTGCTCGTACAGCAACATCAGCCAAATGATTCCCTTGGGCAAGAGGCCCAGGGAGGTTGGAATGGGCCCGCAGATGACCAATAAAGAACTTATGCCGGCGAAGCCGTATGAAGCATTGTAATCATTTGAACAGATTTGCAGCCAGGGAAGCATGACAGAAGGTAGCAACAGTCTCCAATAATGGAACAGACTGAGCAAGGTAAGCACTGTCAGTATACAAATTAAAGGGTCAGTCGGAGTAAGCTGCAAAGGCTGCAAGAATAGCTTGTAACTCTGCTAATTGGGCAGAGGAAGTGTCTGCCTGGAGGGTAGAAACATTGTTTTGGGATACATAAGTGGCCTTTCTGGAGGATGAGCCATCAGTGAATAATACCAGGGCACCTGGAAGGGGTTGTGAAGCTGTGATCTTAGGGAATATAAATGGGTGATAATTAACAAAGTGAACTAGCTTATTTGGAGGGTAATGATTGTCAATAGTCCCTGAAAAGGAAGCTAAGACAATAGGCCACACTTCCGTAGTCTGAAGTAGCCAATCTATTTGGTCTTTTGTAAAAGGTTGAATGATAATGTCTGGTTCTTTGCCAAAGTAACATTTTCCTTGCTTTCTACCCTGAATTATTAGGTCTGAGACAGCCTGGAAATAAGGCAGGAGTGTTCTTTTTGGGGAGACTGATAAATGGACCCACACCGATGTGGCGGAAGTGAGGCAAGCGCCATTGTAAGAGTGCCATGAGGCTTGCCGGAGATAGGTGCTATCTTAGGAGCACTATAAGGCCTTGTGCGACTGTCTCCTCAATCTGAGGATCTGCATGCCTCTGGGCAAGCAGCTCAGAGATTAAATCCCAATATGTAAAGGTGGTCACTGGAACCTTTTTTTTTTTTTACCAAAAACTCTATAATAATCTTTTAAAGCATCTCTTACTCTATTCCACCTCTTGGTATCTATAGAACCCTCTAGGGCAAACCTTATGAATAAATTGAAAATACTGCAATAATTCTTTTGTTCTAACCCTTACCCCTCTTGTCTTTCATGCCTTTATAAGGCTTCCCACGAACACTTCGTGTTCACTCAATACTTGACCCATGTCCGGGAAAGGAAATGGGGTCACGGTTCACTCACCATGACTCGGGCAGGACGTTGGGTAGTCATCTGCACAGGCCTTGGTACTTGATTTAATGTCCTGTTGCTTTAAGCTTTAATCCTTGATTCAGTTTGCTCACTCCTTGCCGCGGTCTTTGGTTCAATTTGCTTTCACTTTCAGTTTAAGCCAGCTGTCTCTAGAACGGCTCCCTTGTTAACTCCTCCATGCCAGGAGCCCCATGTTGGGCGCCACTTGATCCGGCCTGCAGATCAATCCGTGGAGAACTCCTGGAGGGGGAACAGGGATTAAATAAAAGTCATGGGGGAGACAAAGAGAGATGAAAGCAAGTCGAAATAATCCGATCAAGCTTCCGTTTATTCAGGAAATGATCACATCTTTTATAGGCCATGGGCAGGAGGTGGGACAAGAAGAGGTTAAGGGGTGAATACAACAGTGTCACCGTCACATCCGGATATGTGACATAAGCAGGAGAGGATTATGGTTAATGTAGGCAGACACAGTGCCCATAGGAGAGAGAGGCAGGGAGGTGGCAATGGGCTGTCATTCGGCTCCCTACAATGGTGCTTTAGCACCAACAATATAGAAGCAGGTCTTTGTTCCATTTGTTCCTTTCCAGGCTGTAGGGCTCTCTCGGAGAATGGGGCAGGACTCTTGAGTACATCAGCAGATTTTCTCCCTGTCAGAGAGCTACAGATCCTTCCTGTCCCTCCTCTATTTGCCAGGCTGCTTCTGAATTACACTACAGGAAGCTCCTTGCCTGGGACCCTTCAGGGCTGAGATGCCCAGTATTGGCAGGAGCGCCTTTTTTCTAAGCATAAACTTGTCTCCATCACAAGATAAAAGACAGAATTCGCTATTACACTGTCTGTAGGCTCCCAAGTGAGGTCATTTCTGCTTTTCACATGCAGAACTAGGTTGCAAAGAAGGCACAAAAATGGTGCTTACACAAACATCAAGCACATTCAAGACAAACACCCCAATTTTTCCCTCGGTAAATATGTTTTTACAATACTCCAGGGGCTCTCAAATTATAGCACCACACAAGAATTGCTAAGAGACACTGCTGGTCCAGCCCAAGAGTTTTTGATTCTGTGGGTTAGGGGCAAAACCTGAGAATGTGAATTTCTGACACTTTCCCGTGTAATGCTGCTGCTGCTACTGCAGGCTCTGGGCTTCAAGAACACATTATAGACCATAGCGACAAAGCTGTGACAGTCCCCTTTACCTTGAAACATTCTGAAAGAAGGCATATCCTGGGGGAAGGCCACCCAGGGAACCGTTTACAGAGGGATTTGTATTCCAAATGTATGGACACCCCAAAAGCATTCTCCACAAAAATGTTACCAGCAGTGCTTGAGGGGTCCAAATCAAATTACAAAATGCCCCTTGAGCTCACAATTTACTTGAATTTAATAGTACAGTGTTTGTGTTGGTCATCTTTCTATTATCATGACAAAATACCTGATATAAATAACTTACAAGGAATATTAATTTTGGCTTATGATTTCAGAGGTTTCACTCCATGGTTACTGAGCCCCATTGCTTTGAGCCTGTAGTGACGTAGTATCTCATGCAGTACAAAAGAGAAGGTTTAAGGGGCTGGGGATTTAGCTCAACAGCATAAGCACCTGCCTTGCAAGCAGGCGGTCATGGGTTCAATCCCTAGTACCGATAAAAAGTTAAAAAAAAAAAAAAGAGAGGGTATAGAAGAGGCCAGGGTTGCTGTATCCTCTTTCTGCCACACCTCCATGACCTAATTTCCTCTCACCAGGTCCCATTCCCAAAGATCCTACCACTTCCCAAAAGAGCACAGGCTACAAGCAAGCCTTCAACATGTGAACCTTTAAGGTCATTCAAAACGCAAACTACAGCAGTACTATTTTAACTACAACTTACTATGCATTTCATTATCCCTCCAGTTCAAGTGAACTTCCTCCTTCAGCTCAATAGGTCCTAACACACAAGCATTGGTGGAGTCCACAATGTGTGATAGGCAGGACTTGAGTAAGAGGCATCATCAAGTCATCATTCACATATATTTGCCAGGAAAAGACCTCCTTTAACTGCAAAAACATATCTGAATTGGGCTCAGGGACACTAGATATGGAGAATTAAGGTCTCCTTTTCTGTCTGAATCAGAAATCAAAGGGCTGTTCATATCAATTCCCTCTGCAGAGGCTGTCTTAGTTGTTGTTGTTGTTATTGTTGTTACTAGGACCAAATACCCAACACCAACAAATTAAAGGAGGAATGGTTTATTTCACCTCAGTTTGTAGAAGTTTCAGTCCATAGTCAGCTGGCTCCAAGGTAGGGCAGCACGGCAGAGGAGCATTACAGATGAGAAACAGTCCATGGCAGGGCAAGCTGGATGCAGTAAGCCTATAGGTTGGTGGCACCTACAGCCAAAACTACTCTAAATCAACCAGCAGGTTAATACAATTATAACATATTAAATCCATGTTTATATACTCTTAATCCACACCCTGATCTAGCCACCTCAAAAAAGCCTCACCCAATGAGAGCATGCAGCTCTGGGGGGATTTTTAGATATGTCATAACAGGTACCAATGCCAACTAAGGCCAGAGTATGGTATTGTAAGGTCAAAACATCTGGTTAGCTGATGACAGGTTGGGTTCAAAACCCACAGCTGCCTATCTTCCTCAGTGCTGCCTATGTTTACATGTTAAACGGAAGGCTCTTGTTCCAATTCCTACAGATGCCTGACAGCTTGTGCCTGAGGCTGCCATCTCCTACTCCACATCACTGTAACCCGCAGACTTCTTATGATCATTTAAAAAAAAGAAAACCGAGAAGCTCATCTGTCACCAGTCAGACCCAAATGTCAAAATTAAGCATAACTGGTGAATGTCTAGAGGCATTCACATTTGGGTGCAGATTCAAGGACTAGATCTCAATAGCAACGTGGGTTAAAGGAGCAACAAGGAAACAAAGTATATGCTGCCCAGCGGCTCCTGAAAGTCCCAAGTCCACAACATCTTAGAGCTAGCAAGGCTGCTAATGGGCAATGCATCTTCCTGTTCTAAGAATACCAGCAATTTCTAGAGAGAGCAGTCACCTCTTTTCTCTGAACACTGCATTCCACTCTTGAATGTGTACTTTAATTTCTGCTAAATAAACTCTTCCCATGTCTTTTACTGACTAGTCCTGAAAATTCTTTTCCCATAAGTGGAGTCAGTGAACCTATGAATAGGGGGATTAAGCTCATTACCTCAGCTTTAGGAACTTTCTAGAACGATGTCCCGTGATAGCACCAACAGAAAGGTTCCTTAGCAGGAAACTGCTGAGAGGCTTTGTGATTATACTATGCTGCATGGCTGGGGTCACTGCCAACAATGTCTGGAAAATTCCCTCAAACAAAACCAGTTACCCAGGTCACTCTGGCCTTATGCTATCATTCCATTTTATCTATATACCTGTGTATTTCCTGAATTTGGGGACTATTTCTCATTTTATATCTTTTGTTCCATTACCAGGCTGTAAAGCCATCTCCTGGTATCTTCATTTGTTTGTTGCTTTGTTTTTTCTTTCTTTTTTCCCTAATGTCTTTAATTTATTTTTGATTTTTTTGGTTTGGTTTGGTTTTTACGATGAGGTCGGGTTACCCAGGCTGGCCTTGTACTTGTGATCCTCCGACCTCAGCCTCTCAAGTAGCTGAGAATGCAGGTGTGCACCACCTCGTCTGTGCTAGGCAAGCACTCTAGCAGTGAGCTGCATCTCCAGACCCTAGCTTTTCTCTTTGATTTTGAAAATACTCATCACACAGTTCCTGGTTCTAACTATACTAAAGAGTTGGAGGTTTTAATTTAAAAATTTCCAGTATAAGTATAATATGAGCATACCATTAAAAGTTGGTAAAATTAGAAAATCATGTCACCCATTATATTGGTGCATGGATACATACAGGTATGTGATTTGTCCAGGATATTACTAAGTATATACAATTTTGAATCTTTTTCCCTCAACCAATTGTTTTTAAAAACATTTTAAGAAATATTTTTAGTGAACATTTTTAAGAGAGCATCTTAATAGGAAGATAATACTTTATTCAAGGGGTTATTAAAATATATCAATCATATTTCTATTTATAATTTTTCACTTTCCTAGGATGTTCAAGGCACTGTATTCAATCTCCAGCACTACAAAAATTAAATTAAAAAATGTAATAAACATAATTATATACATAATGATATATATTCAGATTTTTTTCTTAGTTTAGATTCCAGACATTCAATTAATTATAGGCTTAGTGTATGACTATATTTATAAGTCTTTTTTCTTTCTTTCTTTTTTTATGCTATATGTCTTAGTTACTTTTTTGTTGCTGGAACAAAATACCCAACACCCACAAGTTAAAGAAGGAGAGATTGATTTCATCTCACAGTTTGTAGAACTTTCAGTCCAAAGCTGGCTTACGCCATGGCATGGCACTGGGGCACTGTAGAGGAGAACAGTCCACGGCAAGGGAAGCGGGAACCGCAAAGGAGCGAGCGGCAGGGCCCAGCCTGCCTCCAGCTCTCCCTGGAGAGTCCACCAGGCTACCAGCCTTTGGACTGGTGCCACCCACATCCAGATGAGGTATCCATTACCCACACCCAGAACTATTCTAATTCCAATCATGGACTAATTAATAGCATACAACCTTAATCCCAGTATCACAAGCCTTAGATCCAACTAGCTCTGAAAAGCACCACCTGTGACTGCATGAGGCTTTGGAGGACATCTAGACACAAGGCATAACACTATTCAAGTGCTCTATGTCTGAACTACACCCTGCAAATTACTTTCCAAAAGGTTGTGGCTGTTTACACAACCATCAATAATGACTGAGTGTGCCGGTCCCATGTCATCTCCAATAACAAACCAGAGTGTTGAGAACTTCTGAACTGATTCTCATGGCAAATTTATTGAACAGCACTCCTTATTTTACTAGGTAATGTCAAGTACAAAAACAGTAATAAGCAGATGTTCTACTGAAGATGACAAACTGAAGAGAGGTGTTATTTAAATGAGATGAGTAGGGCCAGGGATTTAGCTCAGCAGCTCAAGCACTTGTCCAGTAAGCACAAGATTGTAAGTTCAACCCCTGGTATAAAAAAATAAAAATGATGCCTTTAAGTCATGAGCATTTTTAAAAAAACACTTAAATGATTCTGTAAAGCACAGTTTTCAGTGATGTCTCTGTGGACTGCCAAGAAGCCCAAAGGACAACTGATGCCCCTTGAGGCAGCTCTCTAGCAGACGGGATTGGGACAGATTTGGTCTCCAGTCAAATTTCAAGCAGCTCCAGGCATTAAAGCAGCTCCTTGTTTAAAGGTCTGCTTTCTATGCAAATGCCATGAGAAGCATTGTCTACCAGCTGTTGGATGTGTCAACTCCACTTACAGATGAAATATATGATAATAATTATTATTTTGTAGTATAACAATAAACAGTAGTTAGATGTAAACCGAATAAATATCATTCATTGACTTTTAAAAAGGGGAAAATCACATTTGGAGGATGCCACAAACGAGTTAGCATGGATCCAGAGTGCTGGCTCTTCAGCCTCACTTGGCAATTCTGAAAATCACATTCCAGGGGGACAGAGTGACTCTCTGGGACCCTGTGGCTGGAGTTCCCCCAGAATCTACATCTCAGTCTGGTCGTGGCATCTCTCTGAAGACGGTAAGATAACAGGACCCTTACAGCTCAAGGAAGAAAGATGATAGAAAAGTGTTTCCAAAGTGCCACAATGATCCTTGCTACCAATACGTGCAGACATACTAAGTCTCCATGTCTAGGTTCTACTCCTTTTAAAACACTGCAACACCCAGGTATAGGGATACCCCAAACTGCTGGGAGGCAGAAGGACAACAACTCCAAGCCCAGTCTGGGCAACTCCGTGACTCATCAAGTGACCTGCCTCAAAAGAAACAATTCAAAAGCCTAGGGGAATGTAATTTAGTGCAAAGGATATAGGTGCAATTCCACTACCAAAAAGAATTTTTTTTTTTTTACTGCAACTATCTGAAGATGTAGCTCAGTTGTAAAGCAGTAACCTAGCAAGTGTTAAGACCTTAGATTCCAGGGCTGGGGATTTAGCTCAGCGGCATAAGCACCTGCCTTGCAAGTAGGCGGTAGTGAGCTTAATCCCTGGTATTGATAAAAATGAAAAAGACAAAAAAAAAAAAAAAAAAAGACCTTAAATTCCATCCCCAGTATCACACACACACAAAAAAATTACAACTTACTGCTGCTTCTCCCCAGCCTCCCATCCCACCTTGCTGGGGATCAAACCCAGGGTCTTGCCTAAGTACACACTCTCCCATTGAGTTACAGCCCCCATTCAACTGCAGTTTCTAATATTTTGCATTATTATTTACATTTATTTAGCACACAGAAGTTTTCTTCCTGAACTGAGGCAACTTTAAGTGAAGTTCTTCATACATTTATATGACACACTAGAAAAACATGATCAAACTTTTTTGATTGGACCAATCAACAAGCCAACCAAACAAAAACAAAGAAAAAAGACTGATCACTCACAAAAGATTGATCACTATGAGTGATCAATCTTTTTTCTTTGTTTTTGTTTGGTTGGCTGGTTGACTGGTTTTCTGTGTTTTGTTTTGTTTGAGAAATCTCTACTATTTTGTAGAGGTTGGTTTTCAAATCTTGGGCCCAACAGATCCTTCCAGCTCGGTCTCTAGAATTGCTGGAACTACAGGCATGCACAAACATGCCTGGCTGATAAAATTAGCCAGTTCACGATAAGCAAAACTATTATTCCAGGTATAGTGGCACAGGCCTGTATTCCCATCCACTTAGGAGGCCGGCAGGGGGATTAAAAGTACAAGGCCAGCCTGGGCAAATTAGTGAGACCCTGTCTCAAAATAAAATTTTAATTTAAAAATTTGCTGTATAGCTCAGGCTGGCCTTGCTCCTTCTGATCCTTCTGCCTCAGCCTCTTAAGTACAGGAATTGTAGGCATGTGTCACTATGCGCAGCAGAATACAAAGTTTTTAAAGGGCTGGTGTTGTCAGGTACTACTTTGAAAAATGGCTCACTAATTAAAAGTATTTCAAGTCCTTTTTTCCATGAGCAGAGAACTAAACAAGACAAATCAAAATTGATGCTAAAATTTGATTTGAAAAGTGAGGAGTGGCCAGATGTGGTGGTACATGCCTGTAATCCCAGTACTCAGTAGGGGGAGGCAGGAGGACCACCATGAGTTTGAGGCCAACCTGTATTATAAAATGAGGCCTGTCTCAAAAAGAATGCAAGAAAAGAGAAAAATGAGGGGTGAAGGAGCAAGGGAAAACTAGTTCTGCAGAATGAATTTGAGCTGAACAAAAGAAAGGATAAAATGAAAAATAAAGGTACACTCTGGTCTGGTAAACAGAGGGATTACTGTGAAGTCAAAGCAGAGGGCTCCTCATTGTGGCTCATTTCTTTTATGCTATCCACGTCTCCTGGGATTCCACAAGATGTTCTACATACAGATCTCCTGGG